AATTTTTCAAAACCCACCTGGAAATTTTGGTAGAAAACTGCACACGAAAGCAAGTACGTAGGATGAGGCTCGACTCCGCTAACACCTACATGTAATCGAGATATTCTATCAATAATCTATCTCACTTCTCCAATTTATTATAAAACCCACACTTAAAAAAAATTAAGACTTAAGGGTTATAATCGGATTTTTCGTGGACTTGGAACTCTCTCATTTTTGACAAATATGACTCGGAGGACAACATTGAAATTTCGAGACTTAAAATAATTTTTCCAAAATTTTATTATTTTTAAAGATATTTTTAAAATTAAAAACGGTACGAAAAACGGACTCCGGAATACAAAATAGGGTAAAAAGGTCAATTGGGCTAAAGCTGCCAATACATCCACTATTTGGGCCTACTGCAGGGGTTGAAAGGCCCATACTAATAGCCTGCCAAGGGGAAAAGGAGCGCGGCCCTTCGGGCTCACACGCGGGCCAGAAGTACAAGAGGGTTTGGGTCTCGCGCGGGCCGCTAGCGGGCTGTGAAGCCCGCGCTGCTGATGCTAGTATGGTGCAAAAATATATAACAAAGTGTTGCGGACAACAAGGATTGAACCTGGGACCTCTCACGCCCAGAGCGTGAGTCATACCACTAGACTACAGGCACTCCTTGTTTGCTAATTTGCACAGTTGTTTAGATGAATGTTAAAAGGAACTGCGACTTAACCAGAAAAAAAAAATTGTTTGGAGAACTGAACAGACGTTCGAAACAATTGAACAGAAGCTGCAATATCAACGACCCAAATTCGACGACAATGCTCGAGCAAATATCACGTCCGGGGATTTAATTAAACAACTAAATATCAGAGTTTCGAAACATTTTAAAAAGGGTTTTTGGGTCGAAACTAAACGACATTAAATAATATACAACGAGACCCCGAAACAATAGAACGGAACTCCGAAACAACATAACGGGACTCCGAAACAATCCGAAACAACCAACGCAATATAATGAATACTCAATTTTACAAAATCGAGAGTTCCGATCATCCCCGAATATTCCACAAATAAAATGATATACAATCCAATAATTAAAGCGAACGATTTAACGAAGAATCGATTCAACGAACACGATATAATCAACGAATATCTCGAATACGCAGGATCTGAAAAAAAAAAGATCGAAGGAAATTACCCGTCTTCGGGAACCTACGAGAAATCAGAAAAATGGACGAACGAGCCTGAACTCGGAGCTATCGAACACAGGACTGGACACGACCTTCCCGCCAACCGACAGGTTCTGACGGCGAATGGAAACGAACAAGTTTTCTATGAAATTCTCTGGTGAATGAACACGCTCGAGCCGATGGTGGATCTCCGGCGATTATTGGACTGCAGCGGATGTTCTCGCGGTTGAGGTTGATAGTCGCCAGAATTGGGTTGCTCCAAGGGGACGTCGGGTATCTAGCTTGTGCTCGCCGGAATTAATGGTGGTTGGCTGCTGGATGACTCGCCGGGGAAGAAGGTTGCAGACGGTAGAAATTTAAAATTGAACGAGAGAGGACAGAGTGAGGAGAGGGGATTGTTCTGATTCGGTAGATATACACGAGATCGACGAGGAACGTGCGAAATCTTCCGCCAAAATCGCAACAGATTTTCAAGCAGTTGGGTTTGGTCGCAGCGCGAGGAGAAATGGACCTGGTCGTGCGCTTGAGGAAGAAGAGATAGAAGGGGATTTTCTGCCCAAAATCTCTTGCGGAAGTAAAAGGAAAAGGGCTTCACTTAATTCCAATTGGGCCTAGCTCAATTGGGCTGGAAATTAAAATGCCATTGGCTAAAAAAATACTTTCAGTTGGGCCAAAATAATTGCATAGTAAATGGACTGGAATTTAAAAGCACAAACGGGCTAGAAATAACTTGTAATCTGTCGAGAGTAAAAATCGAGAAATATTAATCGATTCAATTAACGGCGAATAGTAAATTAATCCAGACGATATATATCTACAAACACATAATATTTATATATATATATAAGCAATTAGAAATTTGACAAACAAAATAATAATAATAATAATAATAATAATAATAATAATAATAATAATAATAATAATAATAATAATAAAGACA